CTCTAGTAGATTCAGGTAAGAATCTGTTATGTAGGTTTTTGTGTTTAGACCAGTTTTCTTGATCCTTCATTTTGAATATAAGGGATCTGAGAATAGTTATTTGTTGACTTTTTGTTATGATTACTGAAGCACTTGGGCAGGTTGGTTTGGGTGGTTCCTATATCTTCAGTTCTTGATATTAGGTGCATCAGCTAATTTCTATTTGAGATTACTTCTGATTTTAGTGTGGGTTGATAAGATTTTGTTTAGTCTCCCTTGAATAGGTTATAAAGGGTATGTGTGGATGGAAATGACTGCCATGGCCTACCTTCTTTGTCTTCCTTCTTTGTCAGATCCCTGCATTGAGGTGTGTAGCCGATTGTCTCCTGTCTTGGAATGCCTGAGTATGCTCAGTGCAGGCTGTCAGTGGATGTATGCTGCTTTATCCATTCTCTACTCTGGTCTACTTCTGCCAGGGTTACTCTGGACTAAGACATGGTCTGTCTGCTTATACTGTGGCCCTCTGCAGTGAGGTATTGCACTGAGCCTGTTAATGCAGGGACAGAGAGAGTTTTTCTTGTTCTCCCCATGGTTACTCTGGACAAAAGTAAGGCTGCCTGCATTGGTGGGGAAGGATTTGATGTTCAGTTTGGCTGCATTTCAGAGTGGGAACGCTTACTACTAGTGCAACTCCACCATCACGGTCTGACCACACTCATTATTATTATTATTATTATACAGTATTTATAAAGCGCCAATAGTTCGCTCAGCGCTGTACATTACAAAGGGGGACAGAACATGTGACAAAACAATACCAATACAATGCAAAACATGAGGGGATCGAGGGCCCTTCTCTTTTGAGCTTACAATCTAGGAGGGAGGGGATGGTGGCACAGGAGGAGATAGCTGTGGGGGATGGAGTGGTAGGAAGAGTGGAGGAGGTCGGCAAGTTAGCAGGGGGTGGGGTAGGCTTCCCTGAAGAGATGGGTTTTCAGGGTGCGCCTAAAGGAGAGGAGAGTAGGTGATAATCTGATGGGTTGGGGCAGGGAGTTCCAGAGGATGGGTGACACCCTGGAGAAGTCCTGGAGGCGGGCATGGGAGGAGGAGACCAGGGAACTAGAGAGAAGGAGGTCTTGTGAGGAGCGGAGTGTGCGTGCTGGCGGTACTTGGATATTAGGTCAGTGATGTAGTTTGGGGCAGTGTGGTGGACAGCTTTGTACGTCAGCGTTAGGATTTTGAATTTGATCCGTTGCGCAATCGGAAGCCAGTGGAGGGATTGGCAGAGGGGGGTGGCGGAGACAGAGCGGTTGGAAAGGTGAATGAGTCTGGCAGCCGTATTCAGGATCGACTGAAGCGGGGATAGCCAGCGGCGAGGCAGGCCAGTGAGGAGGGAGTTGCAGTAGTCGAGTCGTGATATGATGAGGGAGTGGATGAGCTGTTTAGTGGTTTCTGGGGTTAGGAACATGCGTATTTTGGCGATGTTGCGGAGGTGGAGTCTGCACGAGTTTGTTAAAGATTGGACTTGGGGTTGAAAGGATAGGTTGGAGTCCAGAATGACACCAAGTACTCTGGCCTGCAGGGCGGGTTTGATGGTAGCGTTGTTGGATGTGACGGAGAAGTCAATGGGGGGTGGTGTCCGGGCTGGGGGGAAGACAAGAAACTCGGTTTTGGAGAGGTTCAATTTAAGGAAGTGGAGTGACATCCAGTCTGATATGTTGCTCAGTAGGTGTGTGATTCGGGCTGAGACCAAGGGGGTGAGGTGGGGGGTTGAGAGATAGATTTGTGTGTCGTCGGCATAGAGGTGGTAGTTGAAGCCGTGAGAGTGTATGAGTTGGCCAAGGGAGGAGGTATAGATGGAGAAGAGAAGGGGCCCAAGGACAGAGCCTTGAGGGACCCCAACAGAGAGGGGGAGTGAGGGGGAGGTGGTAGCATTATAGGTAATGCTGAAGGAGCGTTGTGACAGGTAGGATGAGAGCCAGGAGAGAGCAGAATCTCTGAGGCCGAGGGAGTGTAGTTTTTTGAGGAGGAGGGGGTGATCGACTGTGTTTTACATTGGGAAGTATTTGAAAATTGGGTTTAGCCACTTACACACATCTGCCACAATGCACAGCCAGAAATATTACTCTATTTTTTCTTTTATTTAAGTTTAATTTTTCCAATGTCACCCACCTGCATAGGGGGCAATGAAACAGCAGTGTAATGATGCTGCTTCTTTATCATGTTAGCAGTCTAGAGCTAACATCGGAAGCTCCAAAGCTTAACCAGGAAAAACAGGTATGTCCTGCCAGACTGTGCAGTATAACTAGAGTATGAAGTCCAGGATGTATTAAACAAAATTACAAGTCCTCCCACAGGTAAAGCAGTTAGTGAATGTATTTTATGTAATGTAATTCTGAAAATGAAGTTATCATATTTTGCAGTGTAAACCATATAAATGCTGCGCTACATTCAAACTAATTTAGGTGAATGTGGAATTCAATATCTCAAATTAAAATAATAACAATAATAATAAATGTAGATGTGCTTAGTGATAAAAAATGATGACAAAACACAAACTTGAATCCATACGCATGTGCATAAAAAAATGCACATACATATATTACATCACACGTGCAAAAATGTGAAGTGAAATGATATCTAAATAATAAACGCAAACTCAAAGTCCATTAATGGAATATTAAAGGTGAAAAAAAGTCCAATAATGGAATATTAAAGGTGAAAAAAACTGTAAACTGTGTTTCCAATAATACTGTAAAGTGACCACAGGTGAAACGAATCGTGCAGATATCTGAGTGTAGATAGAGCTTGTGAATCCAACCACCTTCTGGATTAGCCCTCTCACCTCATCACTTCGACCCTTGCGGGTCAAAGAGCAGTAATGGATCCCTCTCACAGATCCTCCAGGCACCAAAGCACTCCAAAACCACTTCTCAGGATATAATGTTCCCACTCAGCTCTTCTCCAGGTATAGGTGAAATATCAATTTCTCAGAACAAAACAGAGGGATCCTCCCATAGTGTAGTATGTTTATTATACCATAGGAACATCAAATCTTTAGTAAAAAATGCACTTACGTAGCAGCCAGTCCACATTAGACCCTCATGCTCTCAAATGAGGATATATCTATGTTTGTTGGGTGTACAGCTGCATCCACAGGTGTACCAAGATGGCCGCCACGCCGGAAATACATCACCGCGCTGAAATAAAATAAAGACGCCAATTTTGTTCTGAGAAATTGATATTTCACCTATACCTGGAGAAGAGCTGAGTGGGAACATTATATCCTGAGAAGTGGTTTTGGAGTGCTTTGGTGCCTGGAGGATCTGTGAGAGGGATCCATTACTGCTCTTTGACCCGCAAGGGTCGAAGTGATGAGGTGAGAGGCTAATCCAGAAGGTGGTTGGATTCACAAGCTCTATCTACACTCAGATATCTGCACGATTTGTTTCACCTGTGGTCACTTTACAGTATTATTGGAAACACAGTTTACAGTTTTTTTTCACCTTTAATATTCCATTATTGGACTTTTTTTTCACCTTTAATATTCCATTATTGGACTTTGAGTTTGCGTTTATTATTTAGATATCATTTCACTTCACATTTTTGCACGTGTGATGTAATATATGTATGTGCATTTTTTTATGCACATGCGTATGGATTCAAGTTTGTGTTTTGTCATCATTTTTTATCACTAAGCACATCTACATTTATTATTATTTGTTATTATTTTAATTTGAGATATTGAATTCCACATTCACCTAAATTAGTTTGAATGTAGCGCAGCATTTATATGGTTTATATTCACTTGATCACTGGTATATGATTTAATGTTAGCAGCTGTTTGGGGTTCATTTATTATTTTAGTTTGTCTAAACACACATTTGGAGCGCAGGAGGGTCACACCATTATTGCTCATATTTTGCAGTGGCTGTCTAGATAAAATCACTTAAAGTGCTAGAGGTTTTTTGAAAGTGAACTGCATGATTTTCTATCCCTTCAATTTATATTTACAGTTTATGAGCAAGAATCTAATCATGTTATTCAAGAGGCCCCGTATGTATAGAATTTGGTAAGAATTTATCTGGGAAAATAAAAGTACCTGTGGCATAAATATCCAAACATCCTTCAGGTACACACAGAATGGGGCAACCACACTACCGATTCGACACATCATACTGCCACTGCCAACAGCCAACGACCTAGAGTAGCAAGGGAAAAAAGTTAATGTCTGAGAAAATATGCCAATTCTAGCGTGGACAACTTTAAAAAAAAATGGTCCCCCGCTGGTCCCTGAAAACAAAAAAGCAGCTAAGACCACTATACTCACGTGATCTTGGGTGTTGCTCCCCGCAAACTCACCACTGTGGTTCCCATCTGCCCTTCCTCTTTCAGACTGAATGATGCCTGCATCATTCAACTCACTTCCGGTGAGCCCAAGGCTTCAAGACTTTATCCCCCACACCCATAACTAACAGAAGGAATGCTGGGAGCATTTAGAGGAGGACCTATGCTGACAGATCAAAGTAAATAAGTCTTTTGTAGTGTAATTTTGATGCTCCATTGAGGAGGATGGGAAGGAATGGGGCCTTTGTCATGTCCTGAGATGTTTTAAAATGATTTCTATTAATCTGAAATAAATAAACATGGTTATGTAGCTTAATTTAACTTACCTTACAACAGTTGGATATAGTTCAGCTGTGTACAGGTATATGAGGCCAAAGGCAGTACCAATTGAGAACTTCCCAGCCATACTCATAATGATGGTTACAGTACCGTGTCCCTGGAAAACATAATGCATAGTTTAGTCTAGTATCTTGTACATATATAAATGTGCTGTTAAAACAACTCAAATGGTCTACTGAAAAAAAAAAAACTTAATGGGTAACTCAAAGCAAAAATGTTATTCTTCTACTTATTCTCCAGGTCTGTGTAACCCCCTAACAGTAAAGTTCTAACTGTTGTTTTTAACAAGTTGCTTGAAGTTAGTCCAACCATGCTCTGCTTGTTTGCTTGCCAGCCTCTTATATATACAGTATGTATAAGTGGATATGATTGTACAGTAGATATACCTCAGGTATGAGCATAATCACAACACAAATGACAGTGCTTAGTAAAAGAAATGGAGCCAACGTATTTCTCCTTCCAAGATTGTCCATGCCCAGGCAACAAACTATATAGGAGGGAATTTCCACAGCACCTGTAAAATACAAAAAAAAAATAAATTAATTTTTAAGTCAAAAGTGGCTGAGCTTACATTGTCTCTGAATTGCCATGTAGCCTTGTAGCTGCTTTTATACTCTCTACAAACAGAAAAAGAGACTGCATTCAGATTGAAATGGAAAACTTTTTTAGGCCTCTGATTTTAACTCAATAACAGTCTATGTGTCCATGTTCAGATAGGCTTTTACCAGTTTAGAAACAGCAGAGTTTAGGGGCAGTTAAACATCCCTCTCCTGAAAGCAAAAGAATCGCATGCAGGAGAGAAGCGTTTTTTTGGCCAAAGAACACTAAACGCAGTAAAAATACATGTAAATGCATGTAAACACGTCTAAACACTAGCTGCATTTAGCGCTTGGGTGTTTATTCATGTCACTGGAAAATACTCTGGCCAATCAAATGAAAAAACATCCAATCGGTAAACATGGCTAAACATGGTTCAGCGTTTACACGCGGTTTTGCCTCCTTTAGCGTTTTTCTGCTGCCAGGAGAGCTAAACGTCCAGGGGAGTTCATGTGTACATGAGGCCTTAAGTCTAGAGAATGAAACACTATCTTCTTTGGTATAAATAGTGAATACTTGTGAGCTATTATGAATGAGGCATTCAGTGGGTAATATAAAGTTGTCTGCTGATTTAATGTGCTTGGTGCTCTGGCACTTGCACAGACTCACTTGCTAGTGTATATACAATATTATAAATAAATGTATAGTGCCGCGTTCCTATTTACTTGTATATGTAACTTAATCCTTGAGGTACATGAATTAATATCTGAAACAATCCATAAATCACTGTGACTAGTGAATAAAAATAATCAATAGTAAATAATAAATAATGATAAATCGATTGTGAATCACTATGACTGGTGAAAAAAAATAATAAATAAATTTAGATATGAATAAATCAACAGCTTTCATAAATGTGACTAATGTCAATAAAAAATCCTTAATTAAATGTGACTGTAAAAGAATAAAACTCAGATAAATACAATCCTGAATCTGTGCCACTCTGATCTGATGTGATTAATCCATCTATAATGTGCAAAAGCATACATAAATGTGCAAGTGCAAATACATAAAATAAAATAAAATACAATAAAAAAAAGTCTTTCAAATAAGTGCAATGTGCAGGTGAATTCCATATTCCCTCTCGCCGAGTGCTTAGTGGTCTCCTTATGCGCTCACCTTAATATTTGCCTAAATAAATTCAGGCAAATAAGCTTTTAATCCTTCCAGGATTGATGGGATGATACTCTTATGTAAGATGTTCCAGAAGACAGGTGTGGATCTATAGGGATTCTCCTGTACTCTCCTCTTTCCCCTTGTGCAGCTGCTCATAAATGGATATTTTGACCAGCTCTCTAGGAATCTCCTAATTCCCCTCCTGGGGTCACCACCTTCTCAAGTCCTCCTTTCACCAGCATGGGGAATGTGGGTCAGTTGAAAGAGAGAAGAAAAAAGACCATGGTGCCTTATCCTTTTGTGTAAAGGAAATTTATTGCTGCCAGTTGCGGTATTACACAGCGGTATATGGCTCTTATGTGATCCAGGACAGCATAGATGATAACATACAGTGAGTGAGTAATACTCTGCCTCTGTTATGCTGCCTGCCTCCGTCTGCACTGGAATCACCGAGCCTCTCCGATGCAACGTCGTGACGTCAGAGCCCCTCCCCTACGCGTTGCGTCACAGGGTCACGTGACTTCATCAGGGGAAATGATTGGATCCAAATTTCCTTTACACAAAAGGTTATTTTTTTTCACCAGTCATAGTGATTCACAATCGATTTATCATTATTTATTATTTACTATTGATTATTTTTATTCACTAGTCACAGTGATTTATGGATGATTTTCAGATATTAATTCATGTACCTCAAGGATTAAGTTACATATACAGGTAAATAGGAGCGCGGCACTATACATTTATTTATACTATCTTCTTTGGACAAGGTTTCGGACAAGGTTTAGCAAGCCCTACACAGCAGCTATGTGCACGTGTAAAAATTGACAGGAAACAGAGTAGCAGGCAAAAGGTATATAAAAGGTATTCCTTAACAGTTAGAATAAAAGCTAAATGAAGACAATTTGTGAAATCAGAATCAATTTACATTTATCTTATTTATTTTACATTCATGTACCATATTTAATTCATCCAGAAATATAATATGCATTTAAATCATATGGTAAAAACATAAAGGTTGTATCACAAAACTGGATTTTTTTTTTATAAATTTTATTTTTATTGAGGTAACAAGGCTTATGTAATGTAAGCTTAAAACAGTAAATGGATGTTAATCTTAGGCATCTCCAGATTATAAATATTTATGGCTTCACAAACGCGTGCAGCCTTCAAATCACCCAAAGTTTGCAAACCTAGGCCTGTTAATTTTTGTATTTTTAAAGCGGTTGTCAGGGCTGAATAAAAAAAAAAGACATTTGCAGTACATCTGTGCAATACATGCACATTTCCCCATGTTTTATATCTTTACTATGTAAACTGTGGCCAAAAATTACATCACTTTGGGATGTCTTCAATCCAAAAAGAGTAATTTTGAGGACTTTCATACTGTTCTTGCATTTTTATTTGATATGTTTTATAACAGAAATGAAGCAATTCCCCCCCGGACGGCGGGGGACTTTCTTCAATCCGGGTGGACATCATATGATGTCCTCCCTGATCGCTGCCTCATGCGCACCTCGTAGGGTCGCTCTGTGGCTAGATCTGTCTATCAGGCACAGCTGATGATTGATCTGTGTACTGGCTCATTTCTGGTACCATATGACTACTGTAACCAATCACAGTAGGTCACATTACAATTGTAAACAATGGATGGCTTCCTTTCATGCCATCCATTGTATATAATTGTGTTGCTAGCTGTGATTGGTCACAGTGATCACATGGTATAGACTGGGCCAGTCACAGCCCATCTGTGTCATGCAAGCCTGGACTGGGACATAAATTAGGCCTGGGCATTTTAGACTGAGCAGCCAATTTTTCAAGGGGGGAGGGGAGGGTAGCGGGCATTCACGGGTGAGGTTGGTGACGGGATATTCACGGAGTAGGTCCTTAGGTCCTCCGCACTGTAATGTAAGGGGGCACTGAAATGATTAAAGGGCAGTCCCCTTTATATCACAGTGCCATTTGCAGCCATGCCCCTGCCTCTTTTTTCTGTCATCACTGTGTCCCTGTTATGGACCAACTGTCCAGGTTCGGCAACAGGAGATCAAACATACAGGATTAGACAGGAGAATGGTCAGGCAAGCAGGGATCAGAGCAGGAGACAGTCAATGAATCAGGGTCAGGCAGGGTTGGCACCAAAGCAATCTCTCAGGACACAGGATACAGGAAAAGACCATACGGCAACTTGAGCATATTTAGTGTCTGCTTAAAGGGGGCGCCTGCACTCTCATTGGTGCCAGGCGCGCGATCACGAGTGCGCATGGACGACCGCCGTTGCCGTCGCGGGTGCCCAGGTCCTAGTGCCCGCACGCTAGTGCGCCTCGGCATACCGTGCATGCGCAGACTCGCGAGCCGCAGTACAGCCTGGGGTCCCTGAGAGTCCCCTTTTTTACACTCTGCCTCCCCCACACAGTCCTGCTTCAGCAGAGCAGAGGCAGGTTTCAGCCTGTGTGTCCTCTTCAGGATCTCCTGCCCCTCCAACAATGTCATTCTATCAGCAGAGCAGGGGTGGGAGGAGCTGCAGATCTGGATCATATAATTGGGTGATAAGCTTGTGAATTTGAAAAGACTCCCACTCTCTGTGCAGCTCCTCCCACCCCGTGTTCTGCTGATAGGATGGCATTGTCGGCGGGACGGGATATCCTAGAGAGATCTCTTGAGGACTCTATATCAGATCTATTCAAGTAGATCACTCTCTCTCTATATATGGGATTCCTCTATATATATCAGATCTCACTCCTTTCTATTTCTCTCTCCTCTTCTCTCTCTCTCCCTCTCTCTTTCCTACTCTCTTTCTCTCCTTCTATTTCCCTCTCCTTCTCTGTCTCCTTCTTTGTCTCCTTCTCTCTCTCTCCTCTCTCTCTCTCTCTCTCTCCTTCTCTCTCTATTTCTCTCTCTCTCCTGCTCTCTCTCTCCTTCCATGTCTCTCCCCTATTTCTCTCTCGTTCTTGCTCTCCTTCTCTCTCCTCTTTCTCCCTCTCTTTCTCTCTCTCCCCCTCTCTCTCTCTCCTCTCTCTTTTTCTCCTTCTCTCTCTCCTTCTATTTCTCTCTCTGTCTCCCCCTCTCTCTTTCTCTCTCTCTCTATTTTTCTCTCCCCTTCTCTCCCCCCTGTATCTGTTTCTTTTTCTCTCTCCTTCTCTTCCCCCCCCCTCTCTCCCCCCCTCTCCCTCCCCTCTCATTCTCTCTCTATTTCCTCCCCCCCTCTCTCTCTCTCTCCCTATTTATCTCATTCTCTCTCTATCTCTCCTCTCTTCTCTCTCCCCCCCCCCTCTCTCCCTTCTCCCATGTCTCTCTCCTCAGATTTATCTCATTCTTGCTCAATCCTTAATCTCTCAAACCTCTCTCTCAAGCAAGCTCCTCCCTCAATCCCCTAGGGCTTACAGGGGGAGCAAGCGGAGATTGGTCGGGGTCACCCCGTAGTACCTCTCTCTCTCAGACAGGAACAGAGAGAACAGGAAACCTTCTCTTTCTCCCTTAAATACCCCAGCATTCAGTTTCCAGGTGTTCTCTCTCTCTCTCTCTCCTATTTAGTCCCTCATTCTTTCTCCCCCTCTCCTCTCTTCTATTTCTCTCTCTCCTCTCCCTCCTATTTCTCTCTCTCCTCCTTCTTTCTCTCCTATTTGCTCTCTCTCTCTCTCTGCTCTCTCTCTCTCTCCTCTCACTCCTGCTCTTCCTCTCCTCTCTCTCTCCTTCCTCTCCTTCTCTCTCTCTCCTTATCTCTTTTTCTCATATATACATACACACACTTATGAAACTCTCTCACTCTCTCATGGGGGGGGGGGGGGGGGGGGGGACAACATTTTTGTGTTGCCTAGGGTAGCACAAAGTCTAAATATACCACTAGGTAAAAGTGGTTAAATATTTTTTTTTCTAAATGTTTAATCTTTTTTCCTTTATATAGTGAAAAAAAAAACAATTTATTAACCAATTTTGTACCATTGTATGCTTTTCAGCGGTGGATTGACAGCCCTTTATTTAGTAAGTGTCATTTATGGACAGCACTAGATAAATAGCCAGGTGGCTGATCCAGCCAATGATCAGTATGTACCAAGCTGTCAGACAGCTGGGTACACAGAGACACTGTACCCAGGAGCTTGGTATCATGTGATCGCTATGATTAGTCATCACAGAAATCACATGGTACTGTTTACTGTGTTGAGCCCTACACTTCCCTTTACAACAAGGGGAAGGAGAGAGGTCATAGTAATTGTGAATGGAAACAGAATAAATGGATCAGCAGCTGCTGATCCACTTATTCTGTTTCACTGACACAAGGATAGTTTTTTTCATGTGACCTGTATATTTACCCTTCCTCTCCTCTGTGTATGACCTGTACATTTAATGTATCTGGTGTACCATTCTCAAGCTCCGTGTTTTACCCACTCGGTACCTGCATGTTTCTTCATTTCTAAAAAATTGTGGCAAAAATAAGATCACTCTGGGGTTTCCATTTTTTTTTTAAAAAGGGCCATTTCAAAGGTTTTCATACTATTCTCTTATTTTAATTTTAACAGAAACTAATGGAAAATGTCTTTCAAAATTTTTGGTTGTTTTTCCTCTTTATGGTCAAAAATAAAAAAAAAATGTACTTATTAAATACTCCAAAAGAAAGCACTATCTGTCTATAAAAAAAAACCTGTTATCGTACACGGTGTTGCATAATGGAGTAATTATCAGTCGAGCTGTCACAGCACCTTTTTGTTAACAGGCCAAAAGGGAGCAAATTTAGGAAGTTAATTCTTAAGGTTTAAATACACTTTAAGTTTAAATTTTTGGTATTTAATTAATAAACATCAAGTTGGCATGCAGTACAAAAAGGTGTCTACTGTAATTACTAGAAATTGTAGCTTGCCATATACTCTTAGTAAAAAGGTTACCTGTACGTACCTGTAAGAAAAAGATTCAAGTATTCATTTCCTCCTAGATTTACAGAATTTAGGGCAAATACGTAGTATCCCAAACTACCGGTAAACCAAATGAGCCAAACAGTAATGGTCCTTCTTGCAAAACTGCAGTTGTGAAATAGGTCAAACACATTATGAGTTTTAGATAACTGGACATCTTCAGCATTATCACTTTTCGTTTCCTCTACCGGACACAGCTCAGAGAGTTTGCAGGGACTTTTTACTCTGTTCCACTTCTCCATTGTGGCAATGACCTTTTCTACCTCTTTGTATTTTCCCTGGGAATGCAGCCAGAAAGGAGTCTCAGGAAGCATCCAGCAGCATAGGAGAAAGGGTAGGGTGGTGACAGAAAGAATGATTTGGTATATCCACCAAGTGCGCACTAGGTAACCAGCCAAAGCAACGATCATAACTCCTATGGCAAAGAAGGCATGAATGTGCATAGAGGCCCAAGTGCGAGCTTTGATCCCTATATATTCTGTCACATATACAAACACACTACTACGAGGTAGCCACTGGATACCTGGAAAGAAGGAGGAAGAGTTCAGACTTTTTAATTTACTATTTGCATTGTTCGTTTCAATAATACCTAGTAAATTTATGCCAACATTGCTTTTCTATTTAATGTATCCTATTTGGATTGGTGAGCAGCATTTTATCCCATATCAGTTCTTTACAGATCTTCAGGGCATCAGAAAGAGATATACCACCACCTTCACCATGTAAGTACAAATGAAGAATCTGCTAGAGGGTGAATAGTATAGCTTTCCATTGTCCTGTACCCCATAGTAGCTTTTCAATAGTGACATATGAGACATTCACTAGAAATTACAACTAACCATCATATGAGGTCTTTTAAAGCACAACATTTAATGGCATGGTTAATATTACAACCATCTGACAGGTTTCAGAAATAGGTATATTAGAGGTGCACCCCAACAACAGTAATATTCTTAATGCACATCATAGCTTTTCATGTGTTGTCTTTCAGCAAATGGCAACAGTACTTGTTGTAGACAGGTTATCCCAAAATCCTCATCCACCTGCTGCTGTAAGTAGCTCACTGGCCTTTTAAGTCTGTACATAGTGTAAATTTGATCTGAACTGTCAAAGCTATGTCTAAAAATGGCAAGAAGTGGACAAAGGGCCAGTTACCAGTACTGCATATAGACTAACTGAATCTGATCTTTTCCTATTAGTAATTTACCCTGGATTGTTCTACATCCTGTGTACAGTTGCAAGAAAAAGTATGTGAACCCCTTGGGATTACGTGGAGTTTTGCATGAATTGGGCATAAAAACTAAGAGGATATCAGGCACAGGTGTTACAAAGCTCAATAGCTCAAGCTAAAATTTACACACACAATTGAATGCGTCAGAGGAGATCTCTGGGAATCCTTTATTAGCTATTGTGTTAAAATATTATATTTTAATGGTAAAAAAAAAAAAACTATTTGTACACCTAACATAACATATATTTTTTTGTGATTGGACAGCATATAATGTACACACACACACACACATATGTATATGCAGCCCTCAACATTTCCACTCGCCTCTCTAATTGAGTGAGTGGAAATAAGGTGTATGGGGGGCAGTGACAAGCAGCGATCTCCCTGTATGTCTTTCAGTGAAGCAGCTGAAAGCCGCGGGAGGGAGAGGATGAGAATCTGCTTGTCACTGCCCCCACCGCTGCACTGATCATCCTGATCATTCCGTTTCTTTTCTGGCCCCCCCACTGTGTGCTCCTCAGTGCCCCAGCCCCCCCTCCACCCATCGTCTGCAAAAATAGAAGAAGGGAGAGGGGCTGAATCTGCTCTGCCTCCTCCTGTGCCCACCCACACTGCAGTCCAAGTAGCTTCTCAGAAAAGGATTTGTGAGCGGGAAATTGTACACAGAGCAGCTGACAGCTTTGATACTTCTGACTGAGCATGTGAGTGCGACCTCCCTTCCTTCCACCCACCCACCCCTCCATTCCTTCCATCCACCCCTCCCTCCCTTCCCTCAACCCCTCCTTTCCTTCCTTCCGCCCACCCCTCCCTTCCTTCCTTACACCCTTCCCTCCCTTCCTTCCTCCCACCCACCCACCCCTTCTTTCCTTCCTTCCCTCCCATCCTCCCTTCCTTCCTTCCACCCCTCCCTTCCTTCTGCCCTTCCATTCAACTCCTCCTTTCCTTCCACCCCTCCCTCCCTTCCTTCCACCCCTCCCACCCTTCCTTCCACCATTCCTTCCATCCCTCCATCCCTTTCTTCCACCCTTTCCTTCCACTCCTTCTTTCCACTTCTCCTCCCTTCTTTCCACCTCTTCCTCCCTTCCACCCCTTCCCTTCCACCCTTCCACCCCTCCCTCCCTTCTCCCTTCCTTCCACCCCTCCCTCCCTTTCTCCCTTCTTTCCATTTGATTTTTTTCTTCCCTTCCTTCATTCTGCATAAAACATTTAACAGTGCCATCTCATGAGATAATTTATGAGGGCCTGTGTAGGGGTGGAATTAAGGGTGGGGCAGGGTAGGGTTGGGTGGGGCAACTAGTGTCGAGTAACTCTTAAGTCCTGGCTAGTAGTAAATTATTTTTGAACTACATGCAGCTTCTTGCCCCACTTTGGTTTGGGGCATTGGTTGCTTGTTCTGAAGACCTGCTCTGTATACTACTATTAGTAGTAGTGTAAAGCTTTTTTTTAAAAAATAGCAAACGTGTCATACTTACCTGCTTTGTGCAATGGTATTGCAGAGAGTGGCCCTGTACCTACTCTGGAGGGTCCCCCACTTGCACTCTCTGCTTCTCCTCTAAGTTTGCCCCCATAGAAAGTCACTTCCTATGGGGGTGCACCTGCGGGCTTGCTCCCAAGCCGTTCTGGGTGTGTCTATAGACACATCCAGTGCAGCTTGGCCTCACCCCCCACTTCCTAGTCACTGGCTTTGATTAACAGCAGCACAAGGTAAGGGGGATACGCTGTGATGTAAGGGAAGGTGGGGAACTCTTGACTTCCAGTCTATCAGTCAACTCACCCCTTGACAACGCACTGCCTTGACTGATATCTCAGTAGTTGTTAAGGGGATGGCAGAGTAGCACTGAGCTTCTGTGAGCTATCACTAGTGGTATATCTACGTATCCCTGTATTTATTACAATTCTGTATTTATTACAATTACAAAATATGGAAGATCAAACGTATACAAATTTGTAAAAACTCTTATTAAATTCCTGCTAACAGTGCAATAATATCTTATAATACGCATTTATAATACACAGTTCTTTCCTGACAGCTACATGTCAGCACAGCTGGGTACGCCTCTCCCCCCCCCGGTAAGGGCCCCCATGCTTTCAGGACCTCATTCATAAATTTGAGCCCACCTGTAGCCTTAACATTCTTCTTTTTTCCTCCCATGTGCAGGACCTAGGTGTGCTCCTCTACCTGGCTGGTCTAAAGGGCTGGCTGTCAGTCTATGATTGTGGGTTTCAGCTGGATGCAGTCCCTGGTGTACTGGCTAAATGACCCATACTCCAGGGAGCTCCGCTGCTGGTCCTCAGGGCGGCTTTTATCACAGCTAACAGCCTTGTCTGGGGTCCGCTGGGTCCACGTGAACTGGGCAGCGTTGTCAGCAAAGTCTCCCCCCGGCATGCACACCCACACAGTGTCAGTGTTTACAGTTGGATGATGGAGGTTGGGTGAGCTAAATGTAAAAATGCTTTGTATCAAAATGCATGCTGCATTGCTGGGTATTGATGTGCCCTGCTCCCTGCTGCCGCTGTGCATACCCTGAGCTCCTCCACAGATTGTACTTTGCATAACAGGTGCACAAAGTACAACTTTGTCTGTTCACACATGGCATTATCTGTTGGTGGTTTCTCATGTTTGCTTTAATATTGTGCCATTTTGCCAACCCCCTCAAAAGACCAGCATTTCCAGAGAAAGTAGGGGAGTCATCTGTGGATGACTACTGTAGCCAGCATTGCCTGTTGGAATATAGAGCATCCTTGTATATTTTGTTTGTGGTCTCCAGTTTCTCAAAAAAAAAAAGAGAGAGAGTAGGTTTTTATGATGTCAGCAATTCCTTTGGATGGTTTGTGTACATTGCAGAATATTGTAATTCTGTTACAGATTCCTACCTTTTTGTTGCTCTTCTTAACAAAACATTTTCATTATCTCCTGCTCTCTGGCAAGGTAAAGTTTGGTTCATTAACCACCTAGTGAAATCTGGCTGTGGTTGGAAGATGCAGTATCAATCTCCATGTAGCAGTTGTTAACCCTTTAGGGTTTGTTACTAAGCGAGCTATTTTATACTTCATTACATTAATGTCATATTTTTTTGTATTCTAAGTGGCAGGCAAAACCCTGTGAAAGGATTTTCTAGTCTGGCAATGAGCAGTCTCAGAGCTTTCCCAAGCTCGGCAACCCTCTTCAGACTTTTCAAAAAAGAAGACGCAGATGATCATGACTGTGTGATGAACATGAATGTGTTTCACTCACCCTGTAAAGAGGTTATATTTTCTAGCAACGAGCAGTCTAATATCCTCCCAGGCAAAACAGCTTCTTCAGACAGAAGAGACAGGTGAATATGACAGTATGACTCTTGCTTTGTTCAAGCAATCAGAAATGAGGATGATGATGTAACAATTGGGTACAATAGAGACATGGAAGCTGTACACGACAGTCATCTTGTTAAGGTCTCAGCATTTTGGTTTCATGAGCAGTGTTCCTATTCTTCCCTCTACCCCTTTGCAAACTATGGAATTTGTAGCTGTAACTTGTAATGAACTTCAAAAGAGCCTATTATCTTAATTAAAACACAATAGACCCTAGAGCCTAGGCCTGGATGGCAGCTGTAAACAGCTAATTAGTCTTGGCAGGATGTCTGTTTTCCAGGAACCATGAAAATCACTTTCCTTTGCCCTATCATAAAACAATAATAACTCTTTCAAGCAGTCACACATGACCTGTAAGGCCATCAGAGCTCTAGGAATGCAGAGCATGCCATAAAACGCATATTCCACATGTAAGAATTCCACATACAATTCATAGAATTCAACAGGAACAGGGCACATTAATATTAGGTATATATTTAAATCGTGAATATCATACCAAACAAATCGAGGTCATACATGACTATGTTAGCTCATAGGAAAGGGGAGAAAGCAGTCTCTTCCCTCCTTTGTAACAGTGGTACGCTGTGTTTGGTATCCCTGGATTCAGAATATAATTCTGAATATTGATCTGCCAGTTGCTAGAATACCACCTGCACGTATTGGAGGTTATTAATATTAGTGTAAAACTGTATTTGGGAATTGGTCGTAAATTTGGTGACCTCCTAGTGCCCATCCCTTAAACTGGATTATTGGTCAGTTGGTCTCTGTCTACACCCTCTTGCTATCAGAGAAAAGGACTGACAGGGCTTGTGAAGGGGGAGCTCTCATTTAACATCAATCAAGGAACATCTTAACAGACTTGAGAGCCAAGGCAACATTTTTGCTCGGACAATTGGACTCTGCTAAAATCAGGGCTTTGCAAGTATTCTTCCTTCTTAACT